GGCTACCTCAACATCAATTTGTATGTGGGCTGTGTGCGTGGGTGTGTATGTGTGTGTGAGAGAGAGATAGAAAGAAAGAGAGTCGTCTACATTGCGTGTGCCTAAATTTAACGCAGTTCAGTTCAGCCAAAAGCAACAAGAATACTAAGCAAAGGTGACTTGCACAAAAATTGAAACAAAGAAATTGAATATAAAGAGTGAGCGAGAGAGCATGAGGATAAAAGCAAACAACAAATTGCATGCATTCGGAACATGTGACAGCGATGACGACGACAGTGTTGATGATATTGCTGTTGTTGTTGTTGATCAGTGTTGTCAAATCAAAACGGGCATATAACAAGTGCTTTAAAGCGGGGGGCGGGGTGCTGTGATGAATTAGAACTAGTCAGTGACCCATTGATAATGCACAACGGAAGTTGCAAGCGTTCAACGTTCGAGTCCGACACAAATGCAACTTTCCAGCACAGAAAGAGAGCGAGAATGCAATAGATCGCCTTCCTCTCTCTGTGTGTTGTCATTTTTTTTTTGTTAAGCTTTTTTTTACTCTCGTTAACACACAAAACTGATAATGCAAAGCGTCGTGTCTATATTTATGCAACGTGCCAGGGTTTTGATTTGCACAAAGTGGAGGGGGTTTCTTGTTCGCCCAATACAAAATAGAAAATCATTGGTTAGTATATAGTATATAGGACAATTTAATACTCTCAATATTTTTTTCCGTATCTTCCAACACTTGGAAGTTATTATCAGCGACGGCATCACAATTACGTATACAGAAACAATAAATACGTATATTACCATGTGTATGAGTGTGCATATAGTATAAGTTCTGGTGAAATGTAAAAGCTTCCTGCTGGCTTTTTGTTATTGTAAATTATATTTTATTTACACACAACACAAAAAAAGCACCAACCAAACGACAAAAAGCTTTAGATTATTTACTACACACACGCACACGAGCAGACACACTCATGCATTTTTTCTACGAAAATGGCGACAAAAGCAAACAGTCAGAAAACATATGTTGCTCAGAGCGACAACAACAGCGAGAGAGAGAGAGACAGAGAGAGGGAGAACACTAAAGCAGCTCACGCTCTCGAAAGCTTTTTACAGACACCTAGTTTTGTTTACAACTCTTTGTTGTCGTTGTGTATGTGTATGTGTGTCAGTATGTGTGTGTAAAACAAAGGCAACACTGCGATAAATTATAAATTCAAAACAAAATATAAAAAATAAACAGTTTTGACCTTGAGTTTGGTTAATAACTGTGCTCATTTGCTCTCTCTCTCTCTCTCTGCACGCCACTCTTCGCCCTTTCTTTTGCTCTCCCTTAATTTGTTGATAGCGTGGCTGGTCTAACTGTTTTCCACGTACATATTATTGCTTTTGTTTATAATTATTGCTTATTATTTCATTGTGTGTTGAAATTGCTGCCCGTCTGCAGTGTTTACATTTTTTTTCAAGCGAAATTTGTAATCATTTTTCTTCTTGTTATTTAAAATGTTAATTATTGTTTTGTATTTTTGGATTTGATTTGAATATGACGTCACGGGCAGCTGCTTTTTTGTGATTTGCTGCTGTTTATATTTCATTTGACTTGGTCACGCCTTGTAGCCAGTTTCGTGCTTTAGTGCTTAAAGTCCACCCCCCTCCCTCAACCCTACCAAGCAAAGTCCAAATGCTCTTCACGTGCATCCCACGCGTCTTTTATTCTATTCCGCTTTGCTTACACCAGACACAACCTGGAGATACACACACACACACACATTCAATCTTGTGCACATAATGTTATTATTATTATTGTTTTTACTGTAGCTCTATTTATATGATTTATTTTGAGCACAAAACCTGTTTGTATCTATCTCTTCTGCTTTTTCTTATCATATGTTTTGCATCATATGTTCTTTTTTGTCGTTTCAATTTTTTTCTCTTCCTTCTCCGCCTCATCATCCTCTGCAAACATTTCGCGTTCATTAACTTTTTTCGTTTTTTTTTTTTAATTTGTTTTTTTGTTGATAATTATATAGACATGCTCTTCTTTTTTAAAGCTTTATTTCGTGTTCGCTCCTGTCCCCTTTCTCCCCTTCACTTGCAGCATCAAAATGTTTGCTTGTCTAGTGTTTTTCGGTATAATTCCACTTAAGTTTTTAAGTATTTTTTTGTTGCTGTTGGTTTTTTGTTATATTCTTCGACAGCAGATTTGTAATAAATTCTATTCGTATTCTCGTTTCTCTATTCCCCCATTCTTGGCGTTAGTATATAAGCGCCCGCCGTATGTTTCCTATTTATATACACATATATATTTACTTATATACATATTATGTATGCTTCTTCTTACATTTGTTCATAGAGGGCGCTTTCGGTTTGAAATACAAAAAAAAAAAACATTTATAAAAAAATTTGTTTGGCCTTCGACGCGTTCGGCAACCTTTGACGAATATTAAACAATTTAAATGGCAACGAAGCGGAGTGCGGGGCAAGTGGGGTTGTTGGAGAGAGACGGGTTCGGGCGTAGGAATAATGTGTAAAGAAACCAGAGAAACAAGCATATCACTTAGCTAAAGTAGAATTGTTGCTTAAGTGCCGCGTTAGATGCTATACAATGTGGCTTGTGTGTGTGTGTGCGAGTGTGTGTGTGTTCTCGTCTGACCTTGGCGAATGGGAAGTAACGTCCATTCCACTATGTGCTGTAAGCGCTTCAGCTATCAGCTGTAAAAATATCGAGTTATCACCCAAAATGACAGAGAATATACATGTTTATAGATAAGCTTGCCTGGGTGGGCTTTGGCTTCTGTGTTTCATAGTTCCAAGGTCTACATGTGTATATAGTCTACTTCTCCTCTCCCCCTTCTCTTCCCACAAGTTTTTCATCTGATTACCATGTTAATTGAACACGTGCAAATAAATATCGATAACCTTATCGATTAAAGACGTGATTGATTTCAATTAATTCAAATCAACTCATGGAATATGTTTAAGGTGATTTTTGTCAATTGATCAAACATTTATTTTTAGATTATGAAAGAAAACATGCTGCTCGCTTGTATCGATTTGATAAATTATAGTATATTTATATGTTTTGCTTTAAAAAAAAAAATGTTCATTGATTTTGGTACTCGACTTGCGGCAAATTTATTTGCCCATTGCTTGAACGTAATGCGCCGCACAGAAATATATAATCCAGATACTAGATGCATTTTTCCATTTAAATTTATGACCATTAAAATCAAGCAGAAATTTCGGGTTTTCTTTGTAAACAAACTAATTAATATTTATAATCTACAGCAACAGAAAAAAAACAAGAATAACAAATTGTAGAGTCACCTGGCCAGTGAAATGTGCAACAACAACAATAAGAAATCAAAAACAAGCGGTTTACTCATTGCTGCATAGTTTTTTTATTTTGTTCCCTATTTCTTTTGACTTGTTATTTCTTGTCGTGTTCCTGTTGTTTTCAAATTTCGTTCTCTTTCTATTTTGGGTCTACTTTTTGCGCAAAACAAAATTGCGAAAAGTGTGGTGTGGAAGAATTCTGAAGTAGAAGTCACTCAGCACTGGCGAAAACAACGATAAGCACTAAAATAACAACAACAACGATGAGAACAATAACAATAACAAAAGTCAACAACAGACAGCTGAATAGTATTATTGCAAAACATTTGCTCCGACTACTGACCATTCGAATTTCTACGCCATCCAGTTTGCGATTATCTTTTATAGTTCTGCTGTGACAGAAATGTTTTTTTTTTTTTTATTTATTTTTATTATGCATAAAACATAGTTCCTAAAAAGTCAACGCATAAATAAGAAGTATACTTGATGACTACACATGTGTCTGCCAGAATCAATAAAACATTTAGTACCGCAGCTCAAATTTGGTTCCATTCTTCAAGTTCTCTCTCAGCTGCCACAATCAATCATATTCGACAGCGCCCAGTCTTGACTTATACACATTTATATATACATACATGTATGTATAATTGTTTTACAGTACGGTTCCGGCACGGGCTTAAATTACAACTGCAACTGCAAATGGAATTAGCATACAAAATTACGATATCTATTCATGCATATATCGACAGTGGAATAGTTATTTAAGATTTTCTAAAACTGAAAACGGCAATTCAGATTTGCATTTAAAAGATTACTTTGTTTGTATTCCGTATTTCTGTTTCCGATAATTAATAATATCGTTAACAAAAACAAGTTTTAGAATTTATTTGAGGAAAATTGCTTGAGCTGAAATGATCGGTATTTGTTATGACTATCGATCATGCAAAGAAAGCTGCAATTATCGATAGCTAGTAGACTATCGACTATGAAAATAAAACTCAAATTATCGATATAATCATGACAATTTAGAAAAGACTCCCGCAATGATGTATGAGTATGACTATCGATGATAAAAACTATCGATAAATTTAGAGCAGCCTATTTACGTATTAAATGTGTATAATAATTAGAATGATAATAATTTAGAAAATATTCTAGCAATTATTTCTATTGAGTATGACTATCGATTATAAAAATGTATATATCGATAAATGTAAAGGAGCCTATTTTCATATTAAATGTGCATCTATGTGAACAAGCAATCAATGTTATTAGATAAAATGTTTAAATATTTCTTCTCTTAATAGTAAAATATTATTATTTATCGTTATCGATAAAAGTTAACGTTATGCTGCCACATAAACATTAGAGTTTTATATGCATACATAATTCATTATGCACATTAAAATTCATAATTTGTATGCTTCGGTTAAAGATTATAGTTGAATAGTTAGTTGCTTAAAGATCAGTCTATTAATTTGAGATTTCCAATTTCAACTCGATGCTGAATGCTGATGTTGTAAATGTTGTGCTTGCGACTGGCAGGCCTTGACGAGTTGCTTCTAGCCATTTAGCCATTAAAATATGCCGTTAAATACTACTATTTATGCTTAATTAAATCAACCCACTCTAAAGCCATACATATTTTTCTCTTTCCCTCATTGCAGCTACAGTAAAACAACAGCGCAGTCGCAGCGCAGCGCATGCGCGCCAGGCGCACAACACCAACAACATCAACAACAACACCAACAACAGTAGAAACAATAACAATAACTGAAGGAAGTTAAAGTTGTTTCATATTCAGTAGTTTTTTTATTCATCATCATTGATTTAATCGCCATGACTGAGAATCAGGTATATCCCATGTCATCGGAATTCTTTGATAGCGGCTCAAACAGCAGCAGCAATCCATTGAAATATGAGCTATATGCGCTGGCCACGCCCACACTGACCATACAGACGGGCGTCTACAACAACAGCAACAGTAACAACAGCAACAACAGCAACAGTAACAACAGCAGCACTAACAACACAAGCAACAACAATTCGAGTGCCATTTCGAGCAGCTACACATCGAATGTAATGCTGAGCACCTCAGCAATTAGTATACCGCGCAGCAATAATCCCAATCAGAGCCATCATCACAGTCATCATCATCATCCCTATCAGCTAAGCAGTACGCCCACATTGACGCCAACCCCAACACGCCAGCAGCATCATTTGAACAGTCTGCCCAGCATGGCACAGCACCAACACTTGCAACAGCAGCAGCAGCAACAGCAGCAGCAGCAGCAACAACAGCAACAGCAGCAGCAGCAACAACAACCGTTGCAATTGGGCGAATTGTCTGATTTTGGTCTGGATGCTTTAGATGCTGCCTCGCTGTCGCCGACACTGTTGCAGGATGTCAGTTTGGGCGCCGCCTCGCCGCTGAGCTCCACGTTGTACAGCAGCAGTGGGAATAATGCGAATGCCAGCAATTCGGGCAGCGGCAACTATTTCACGCCCGATCTGAGCTCCTGTCTGAGCTTGAATGTGCCGTCGGAGCAATCGCTGCTCCAGGAGGTGGTCAACGGCACTGGGCTGCTCTACGATATGACGCCCAATTCGAATGCCATGTGGAGCGACATTAGTTGCGCCATTGTTCATACCAAAAATGAGCCATTCAATCTCGACGACGATTACATATTTCCCAATGACAAAGCTGAAATCCAAGCCAACGAATTGGCCGATCTGAATGGTGGCGATTTTCTGGATGTTATGGGGACCATTGATGATCTGCTGCCCGCACAGAATGTCAACTTTTTGCTATCGCCACAGTCACACACGCAGGATTCGCTGCCCCTGGAGCTGCTCCAGCAGCACCAACAGCAGCAGCAACAACAGCTGCAAACGTTGCTCACACAACAACAACAACAGCAGCAGCAACAACAGCAGCAGCAGCAGCAGCAACAGCAGCAGCAGCAGTCACAACAAGGACAACAACAGGATACGTATGAGCTGTTCCATAGCACACCACAGAAGCCACCATCGCAGCTCAGCTCGAGCTTCTCGCCTGGCAGTCAGTCATCGCAGTCGCCGTTAACTCCACCGCCGCCGCCGCCGCATGCGAATCGCTCGCAATATCAGCTGGTCAAGTCGCGCAACATGCAGGAGCTGCTCAAGAAGGGCATGGTCATGTCGTCGCCACCCGAACGCCATTCGCTGCTCAGCCAGTCGGCTGCACTCAGTCCGGGCGGCAGCAGCAGCGGCTTTGGCAGCGCCGCCAGCGGCAACAGCAGCGCCACAAATCCCAGCAGCAGCAGCAGTGGTAGCGGCAGTGGCAGCTCCAATCAAGTGGTCATCACGGCCACAGTTGGTGGAGGGGCGGGCAGTGTGCGGAAATCGTTTGGCTATCAGGCTGGTTCCGTGGAGAGCTCGCAGCTGTCCCGTCTGTCGTCGTCGGCGCCAACGCATTTGGGACTGGAGCACATTTGGATGCGACGTGAGCCGCGACAGCATTTATTATCCACCGGCTCGCTGGCCGAGGCCGAGAGTTTCTCATCGCTGTCCACCGGCAGCGTTCTATCGCCCGATGGCATCGATTTCTCCCAGGACGACGAGGACGATGCGTCCAGCGAAAATAGCGATAACTACGATGACTTTAGCAGTGACAATGGTGCGTCCAATCAATCCTAATTCTTAATAAAAGCCATTCTTCTCAACTGTTCCATCTATCTCTCTCTGTTTTAGGCTCTGGTGATGAGGATGAGACACGCACTTCGACACCGAATCAACTGAGCAGCAGCAAGGGCAAGGAGCGCTTCTTCTGGCAGTATAATGTACAGGCCAAGGGGCCCAAGGGCAAACGACTCGTCTTCCAATCAAAGCTAGAGAATCCGCATTTCCTGAACGAGGTATCCGATCCCGTCTTCAGTCCCACCTGCTCGGTGCGCGGCATTAAAGTCTACAAGGTACCTCAAAATATTCCTTTAGTTAAACTAAATTTGGACTAACAATTGAATTCAAAAACTCTACAGCACAGTGGCAAAGCGCGCAAGGGGGATGGCAACGATTTGACACCGAATGCTCGTAAGCTGCACAACATTGGCAAGGAGCTGGACAAGCTGAGCCGCACCATTAACGACATGACGCCCGTCTCGGAGCTGCCCTTCAATGTGCGTCCCAAGTCGCGCAAGGAGAAGAATAAGCTGGCCTCGCGCGCCTGTCGCCTGAAGAAGAAGGCCCAGCACGAGGCCAACAAGATCAAGCTCTATGGCCTGGAAATTGAGCACAGTGAGTCGAAGTTGTTCTCAAACTGTTTCAATCTGTAATTGTTTATATCTGTTGATATCTGTTTGTAGAGCGTCTAATCAATGGCATTTCGGAGCTGAAACAGGTGCTGGCCGTGAAGCATCGCACAAAGAGTCAGGGCGAGTCCACCGAGGAGGCGGATCAGCAGATTCAACGCATTTATTCAACGGCTTTGTGTGAGTTGCAAATTGCCAATTGTTAATTGCTATTGGGAGGTTCATCTTCTTTTTTTTTGTGTATTTATAGCTGGCATACGCATTGCAGGCGGCTCCACCGATTTTGTGAACAAAGTCTTGGAAAATATGCGCGGCGGTTTGCATAATGGCGGGCTCGAGGATCTGCGCAAATCGTAGACCATATGTTGCACAACTGAAACGAACCGCCCATCAAGTTTAGAATTTTAAGCATAACTAGCATGTAGCCACAGCCCGCATCCTCGCCCAAACCCAAACCCAAACCCACAGCACCCACACCTGAACCATACCCCACCCACAACCACCCCACCAGCCCCCGACGATGTAACCAACCAACTAACCAACAAACAACCAACCAAACAATCAATTTACAAAAATGTTCTGCTTGAGTGCGTGATAATAAGTGAATGATGAGATGAGATAGCAAAGATAACGAAGCGAAAGTGAGCGAAAGATAGTTGTAACTGTGATTTAGAGGCCTGGCAGGCATGCAGCGTGCAGCATGCAACAGATATATGCACAAAAATGATTTAGCCAGCGCTAAAAACAATAACAAAAACAAAAATTCCTTGAAGAAGCAAGCTAAACAATTGATAAGAAACACAACAAACAAACTGTAAAGAAAGAGGCAACCGCAAACATAAACAACAACAACAACAACAACAACAATACAACACAAGAAACAATTGAGATGTGAGAAACAGGATTTTGAGTTTGTGTGCGTTTAGGATTTAGCTACCAGTTTTACCTGCTTACGACATAAGTTTTGATTTGTTTAAACCTTTGAATTGCGAAACTAAATTAGGCTACACAGTAACGAAACAAACAAACAAACAAATACATATAAACCTATATATTCATATACACATAATTACATATATACATTATATATATATATATATATATATATATATATATATATATATATATATATATACAACTGCGATTTATTTGTTTAAGTTTTGATGCTATATTAAACAATGTATAAATTGGTTCAATGTTTAGCACTAAGTTTTTTGTTTAAATATTAATTTCGCTACAATTGAGAGCTTTTACTTTTATATACACACATCTATATCTATATACATATAACAATTATGTTTATTATGTTTGCCCCGACATACAATTTATTGGTCCTAGGTTTTGTCAGTTTTTAAGTTTTTGTTTGCGCCTAAGGAGTAAAAGCAAAAAACAATGAAAGAAAATTACTGTTTAATTGAAATCGATATGCATAACGTATGTAAAAGTTTTATGCATGTTTTATATTACAAATCTATCTATCTATATATATATATACTTTTAATTACCTATATTGTAAATCTATATATAGATACATATACATATACATACATATGAGCGGTGATATAATTTTAATTTTCTTTGTATGATTTGATTTGATTTGATGTGAAACCGTTGGCTGATCAAATGCCCATTAAGGTCTAATTACTTTTTAGTTTCTTAATAATAATAACCATATCGTTTACGTTTCGCATATGAATTACCTTCAATATAAATCATAATTAATCAACTTTAGGCACACATACAATTTGCAAACCTTAAATTACATTCATTTCATAAATTTACTTGCGGGTCGCTCTTTGAAGTGCATACGAAATAAGTTTCAAATACAAAAACACCAAAAAAAACCAAAAAACAAAAAACAAACTTAACACACTTTGAGTTTTATTATATGATTTGTTTCACACACGATTTCGATTTCGATTCTATTTTTTTTTTCTTTTTGAAGAACTTATTGCTTTGCTTCGATGCTAATTTTGTGATATTTGTATTGAGTATTTTGTGTGTTTTTCCTGTTGGGGGGAAAATTTTAATTTGGGTTCTAAACGTCTAGCCTTATAACTGCTATTTGTTGCGCAACAAATTGTGTTCAGTTGATATCAAAAACAAAAACAAAAACAAAAAAAAAACAAAAAATGAATGAAAGAATACATTCAAAACATTCTAAGGACGTCAAGTCTTGGCTTTATTTATATTTGGATTCGTTTCTTTTGTTTGTTTTTGATTTTCTTTTTTTGATAAATGAGAACGGAAATACAAATACAAAGTGATTCAAGTTAAAAACTTAGAACTTAGGCACTCGTATCACCCACTTGAGTTGAGCACGTGACAAACAAATTGTAGTTGTTAGAATAGGCTTAAAAAAGAAGAAGAATGAATGAAAGAAAATAAGTAAGCAAGGAAACCATATATGGAACTTATATACTTATTAAATATGAACAATTAACAATTGGCCATCAGTTTTGTTTAGGGTTTTCAAATTCATGTTTTAGGAGCTTCAAATCCATAAGTGATATGAATACGAATTCAAAATTATTACATTTACGAATAATAAAAAACTACACACACACAACACACACACCAAGTACAAGCGCATGCAAAGCGACTAAAAATGTTTGAAATGTAATATATATATTGTAGATTACTTGCATACATATATATAGAACAGAGTTGCTTAGGTTTAGGATTGTCTTTGTCCAATTGCAAATATGCAAATGAAGTGCGAGGCGGCATTGAAGTAAGCACGACAGTTCCTCAGTGTTTAATATGTGTAAAGAGCATACTAAATATGAAATATACAAAAATATATACATATACTGAATAATTATTAATTATATTGTAACGAGAACGAATATGAATATGAATACAAAACAAACAACAAAGATAAATACATAATACATGAAAACATAAATGTTATGGTTATGTATTGTAAATGTGTGCTTTAATTAAATGTGCTTCATATTTACCTTTTTTTATATATATGTCGATAACAATATCGTAATCGTTATCGAAAACAAAAAATAACTAAACAATGGATTAACTACCTCAAAGTTGAAAACAAGTTTCATATTCGATAAACAATAAGGAGCAAATTGATATACACACCAAAATACATACTTACATACATAGATGTCGTAAGAATGGTCAACAAAATGATTTAGAGTTAACCAAGAAATAACTGTGGGAACTAATAATATATATAAATATATATATATATATATACATATACAACAAGAGCCTGATTCATATTCACGTGTCCATTTAAAGCATACAATACGTATTTTGAAATTCATTAGGCATTAGATATGGAAAACAAAGAATCAAACAAATTATAAATCTTCGATATTAATCGAGGCACTGATCAATCTTGCAGCTCTGTTTTTTTAAGTTATACTGATCTTCAGACTGTCTGCAAGGTTATCAAGATAACAAACAATTATTGTGGTGTCCAACAAATTGAAATACAATTATGATTACTTATATACAAACAAAAAATACATTTTGAAGACTCTGTGTTGAAAATTATAAATTGTGCATGCCCCAAGGCGAATCAAAACATAATTATTATGTATAAAATAAACGGAACAGCGAAAAATATATAAATAATTAAGGATACCAACTTAAGTACACACACACACTCAACATTTATGCATGTCTACCAAGAAAACAAGATGTCTATATATTAAAAATACATACCAAATTTCAATATGAAAATAAATGGCGACAGCAACAAAAAACAAAACAAACTCTCTCCACCGAAAGTGTATTTGATTAATTGTTTAATTGATTTGCAAGTGGCTCTGGGGTGCCACAAAAAAATGTGGAACGCTTCACGATTTTGCGTGTCATCCTTGCGCAGGGGCCATGCTAATCTTCTCTGTATCGTTCCAATTTTAGTATATGTTCTGCCGAAGCAAGAACAAATGTAGCTCAAAAAATTGCGTATATAAATGTAGCAGCAGCCAAATAAGCTGTTGGGAATTACAAGCAACCACGAATATAATCAAAAATACAAGCAACCTCGAATGAAAGCGTCATCTGTTGTTAGTTTTTAATTGGTTTGTGTAATGGCTAAGCGCGAAAGGAACTTAAAATATCGTATATCGATATTGTTCTTTTTAAATCATTACAATAAATCAATATGTATTTTCTCATTTAATTTTTTCTCCTTCTTTTTGCAATATTTGTCTATTCTGAAAATGAGTGTATTCAATTTCCAGTCAACATTTGAGTAATGAACTAATAATTATAAATGAAAACTAAAAATATATCTTCATAATACAAATCTGTCATTGTTGAAGTTTTTTTTATTTCCAATAAACCAATTTACATGGAAAAAATACAGCAAAATGTATCCGTTTAGGCTAGTATTGAACTATCTGCTCTGATAAGCAGGCCTTTACTTTATTGAAATTTCTTCAATTTAAATACATATATGGTTTTTACCTCCTTTGTACGATCCCATGGGATCTCTAAAAATACCTCGAGCGTCACATTTTCATTCTTGAACTTAACTCAAGTGTCTCTTCTAGATGCCCACTCTCAATTTAAAGCAAAGCTCAATTTTGAAAAGCGATAATCATCTTATTCAATATGCATCAGTTCATTCGTCTGAAGAATAACAATAATACATTAAAAATTAATGTGTGCTCAGTGATGCTATGTCTTGGGTACAGGGTATCTTTGAGTCGAGCTTTTCCTATACCAGATCTGTCAACATAATTATGTACAATATTAACCCCAAGACGTTATCAGAATATTTGATATTTCAAATGAGAACAAGGCATTTCTGATAATAAACAATATTTGCTAACTACAAAAATAAACGAAAAATATTTATTGTTGTTGAAGTTGAAAAATGCATTCATTATAGTTGAAAGCACAAGTTGTGCTCTTTATTTGACTACATCGAAAAATAAATATTTAGAGGCACGACCAATAGAGTTCAAAGTCCAAGTGTTGAAAGGCCAACCAGTGTTAATTTATGGAAATTAAAAATACACTCGTTTCTACACATTACAATTACAATTACAATTACAAAAAATGTTTTACAATATTCAGTTGATTGTGCTGTCTGAGATTCTGGAACCACATCCCCATCGCTCCATGTCCAGTTACTAATTTATTCGTGCTTCGACTCTGGCTCCAGATCGAACCAAGTCTTTAGGCCAATGGGCGTTGTAATCTCGCTGTCATCCAATTGAACTTTCAGCTGCAAACAACAACAATTATAAAAAAAAGCGCACAAAATTAGTTTTATATATTTGCACAAAAAAAAAATGTGGAACGCTTCACGATTTTGCGTGTCATCCTTGCGCAGGGGCCATGCTAATCTTCTCTGTATCGTTCCAATTTTAGTATATGTTCTGCCGAAGCAAGAACGAAGATTAGATCCTTAAATCTGCTATTTAAATGGTGATCGTGACGAACAACGTGTTGGGAATTATAAGCGAATGGTTTTGCTGCCAGGGGTTGATTTTTGTCCAACTACCTGGTTGCAACCCTAGATCAACTTACCATGCCAATGATGGGACTGCCGTGGGATAGAAAACCCTTCTGGCTGCAAACGGTAACCTCGAGTTCCGTATGCCTGAGCTCCGAAATCGAGATGAGGTACTCAAAGGATGCATCATAGACGGGATTGCAGTTGTCCTTGATGACGCCGGTCTTGCGCTTGGACTCCTTGCTGCGTGCAGGCAGCAAATACAATTTCACATATGGATCGGGTATGTTGCTCGGATCGCGCAACGGTATATTCATTATCTTATGTATGGTCACATCGAGCTTCTGTCGCTGTGCCGAATACGTTATCGACAGCTGTATGCGACCCCGACCATGCTCTCCCGATGTTGTGGCTATATCGGGCATGCGATGTGTCAGCATCGTGCTGACAACCTCGCTAATTGGCTTCTCCAGCGATGCGGACGCTGAGATCATTGGCGCACTCATGCTGGACTCCACCTCCTCGCTAATCGGTGATTCTGCCGCGAGTCGATTGCTCTTCCCCTGATCATCCTATAAAATATTGTTGTAGCACAGAACAAAAAATATCGTGTAAAACTGGTAGCAGTGGATTAACGATGAATTTAGGTAAAAATTGCACTTTTTGCCTGTGAGACCTGAGTTCTATTTATGTTGGTCTTTTATGGTTCTTCATATATACATATATATATATATATATATATATAGAGGTAGAATTTCATTAAATTTTAACTAAATAGGAATAATTTAATTTTAAGTTTTTGATTATAAGATTAATTTTTGAATTTAATATCGAAACTTTCATCAACTCAAAAAATGCTTAATAATTATAGAACCAAATTTAAAAGCTTAAAAACTGCGGATATATTTTGGCATATACTCGTATATTTAGTAGAAAATATATTAAAGCTTGATTTGAATACGATTATTCACCCTTTTTTTGTATGGTCTATTTTTGAATATGTTTGCATATGTTTTCAACAGTTGCTCACCTTGGAGACCTGATGGGTCAGTGCCGGGATGTCGGGCGTCTTTACGGAAGTGCTGCGCTTGAGTGCTGCCACCTGTTCCAAGGCATCGGATTCATTGTCAATCTCACCAGCCTTCAAGATGCGCAAAGATAGTGACATGTATAGCTTGGACTCGGGTCCAGACATTTGCAGCTGGAACGGCTGCTGTATGATCTCCATGTTGAACTGCTTGACCAAGGTGCTGAGTGTGTACGTGTATTGGCCGATATCGTTGCCAGTCTTCTGGTCATAGATCTTAATGTTCAAGCACTCGTTCTCCGGATTGCTAACCAAAAAAGTGAATCCCTGTTCCCAAACCGGTGAATCATCGCGGAAAATCATCGCCGTCTGTTTCTTCTGCTTATTGACGCTGCACACCAGATACGGATCGGGCTTGGAGTTGGCACGTGCTTGCTGTGAACGAGTCGTGAGTCGTATTTGGACTTAAGGATTAAGGACACCCATTGAGAGCTGAGAGAGGGGCATATTGTGTACCTTCAGATGCTTGGCCGAGTCAATGAAAACGCTAAGAACCGCTGAGCTCATGGTGCTCACACGCAGCAGTTTCGTCTCCAACAATATCTGCTGCAGATCATTGGGATCGGCGGTAAGTTTATACCACTGCAGACGCACATGCAGATCGCCATGCTTGGCATCCTCGAGGGTTAGCCACTGTGGAAGCATAGAGAGCATTATGTCATTTCTGTGTTTCACTACTTGTCTAAGTCCCATTACAATCTATGATTTAGGTAGACTCCAGTTTATAAAAAAATAAATATAGAAATTGTTAGCTGTTAGCAACTTATTTTCCAACAGTGGCAGTGGACTTCCGAATAACCTGCTAGCTGCAAAAAATGTAGCCTTAAGATAAGTTTTGATTTGACACCGATTACCAATTCGTCAATCAGTCAGTCAGTCAATCAGTCAACAGTCAATCACAAATATAAATTTCGTTTTTTTTTGTTCAAACTTACAGTATCCAGAACGCCCTTCTTGATCACGCTGGCTATATCGATAGATGCTCTGCAGATTGTGGCAATGAGAAAACGCATAATTAGTATAAAGAAAATCATTAAAAAAAGACAACATTAATTTTTGGTTAAGTGTTTAAAGCGGGTCTCAGGCCACAAGTGGAGCACTGTTTTGGGAATTGAGTACTGTAAGAACTGTGTGAGCAATTTGAATTTAGTTCATAAAGTATTATTTGTGGAAATGTGTTTGCTGTTTTTTTTTTTTTTGTGGTTTTCTGTCGGATACTGATTTTGATTGATATTGATGTGTAAACGATTGCCTGACCTGCCGAGCGACTCGTCATCACTTGTACGATCCCAATCAAAGAGCCTAAGCACGAGTATGGAACGCTGTGAGACCTCAACCACAACCTTATCCGTTCAGTCAACAACAATACGATAATATGGAAGACATTGAATTAATACTGTTAGTAGTAGTTGGCTGGCTTGGCTCTAACTCTAAGGTTTACATATGTACAGTGAATATTACTCGAGAGTCAATCAATCTACATTCTAAATCACTACAGGGCATGCAAGGTGTTCAGTACAAGGTGCTCCAACTGTTTGCGAGTGTCAGTGTTTTATTGCACATGCAAAGTTAGTATTCTTAGTGTTATTTATTTACTATTAGGTTGTTAGTAATTAGCAGTTGTGTTCAGCTCAGGTCAGTTATTTGTTAGATTAACAGCTTGTCTACAATACTGTGTACAATATTGTGCCACGAAAGCGATTGCAATTGGCCATCTGTTACTGAGTGTTGCAATAGTTTTGAGGCACTGTTTAGTGTATGTGGAAATGCACTCATTATTTGAAAACGAATGAAACTTGAATGGTCTGAATACTCTGTGAGGGTACTCACACACTTAAGCACTAACTTCATAAGCACAACTATTTTGCACTTCATTTTTGTTGAAATTTAAATTTGCACAACTTTTATGTGTTGATATTTCTTCAAGTCCTTTTTGCTGATATTGATAAAAAAATAAAATTTGTAATATTTATTTGTCTACTAAAATTCATATGAATTCATTTGCCTGCGATTTTGAAATTTAGAATTTGCAAGATTAAGTGGATAATTCCTAAAGTCAAAACTTCGAAGCTGTCGAAGGTCATTTTAAATGTTTATCACAATTTGAACACATTTTACAATAAATATTTTTTAATTCTGAGTGTGATTCACTTCCTTTATGATCTCTAAGTCAATGTTGATATTTGAAGTCAAGGTCAGTTTATCGGGTTGTTAGTGAATACAGATAAGTAATAACTAAAAGGCATAACTCGGGAGCAAGATGAAACATAACTGGAACTCAAAAAGGCAATACAAGGAGTTAGGTACAATATAAATGCAGTCTCATGCCGCAATACAATACAACCTGCCCAATACATCATCGGAATTAACGCCTGGCATATTTTGGTCATAGTCCCACAAAGAAAAACCAACCAAGTGGTTGATGGTGGTAAAAATAGATGCCTAGAAAAACAAGTGTGTTTCAGAAAGAGAAATCCAGAGAGAGAGAGAGAGAGAGAGAGAGAGATAGAAATAGAAATACAAATACAATACAGAGAGAGAGAGAGAGATGGGAGTAGAGAACAATGGGTAAACTTGGAACATTTAATTCAAATCGTTGTCAAAGCAAATCAAGCAACAGGCAATCATACAACAGGCAACCAGCATAGAATATATTACGATTAATTACTCACATACGATGTACGGTGTGGTTTTTTCGGGTGTGGTTGGGGAGGAGGAGGAATAGGGATAGGGTAGAGCAGCAGCATTACTTGATCCCGAACCAGTTGAGATATATGTGTGTGTATATATATATAAAGGTATAGCTTACCTGCCGAGGCTCTCGTCTTTCTTAGAGTCATCCGAGTCCTTCAATTGCATGTCGACCCACTGACCCATTTCAATAAAAACTGGCGCCTAGTGGCAGGCGAGCACAACAAAATACGAGTACATAATGTCAAGAAATATGCATGGAAATCAAAAATCGTAAATGATAAATGGAAAATGGAAAATAGAACACGAACTCCTACGGCTTGAGCAAATATCGAACAATTAATTGAATTGAATTGAATTGACATTGTGTGTGTGTGTGTGTGTATTTGTGTGAGTCTTGTGTGTGTGTGTGTTTGTGTGTTGTAGCATGCAGCAATCGAATGGCGAACAGCAAAAACAGACTACAAAAAAGCAAGGCTGTGTCTGCAGTCTCATAGCAGCGAGCATACGCACCTCGCACCAATAATCCCACTTGGGATTCACATTGTTATCGATGATCTGCGTCCGGAATTCTTGAGAGCCCACATTGATAATCGCATACGGATCGGATTTACCCTTGCCCAGCACACTGATGTCCTTCTTCATCAGATTCTTTGCCTCCACGACGTGTATGCGCAACAATCCCTAATTATAATAAATAAATCAGTCAAGTTAAATCCATATGTAGTTTGTCGCCTTAAGCATTTGTTGAATAACAAAATGTAAATTATAATAATTGGTTCTTAACATGCACTGAAAATATTGTTGCATTGTGTGCTGATAGATCAGGCAACCCATTATTAATAAATGTAGACCCACCTCCGGTTCGGGCATTTTGAGCGAGACAGCTGAGATTTCATCACTCAGCGATATTGGTAGCTTGTTGGGCAGCACCATCACATTGCCAATCTGTTCGACAATGATGCGACGCAGCAGATCCGATAGTCCGGGCATATCCATAAAGTCAATCACGCCAACCAAATTGAAATCGATATTCGGATTGTTGAGGAAAAATATTTGGAGTCCGCCCACCAGCGGCATGGAGCGTATCAGTGGCTTCATCACAACGCGCACCCAGCCGTGTATCTGGAAATCCTTAATGCCACCCTTCATGCCACCCAAGTAGAAGTTAATGTCACAGTCGCTGGCATAAAACAAATCCAGGTCCATAATAATCTCATTGCGGTCCACGTTCTTGTCGTAGATCTTCACGCCACCGATGCGTGGCGGAATCGTGCCCAATATGATCCGATCGAATCGAAAGCCATTCATCTTGTACTGCGAGAGTGCCAGTGCCACATTTGGTTCAACCACCTCCTTGACGATGGTGCGGGCAAAATGGTTCGCATTGGGCCACACCTGCTTCAGTATCTATTTCGAGCAATAAAAAGTGTTTAGATTTCGAGTGTGCAAATTGAATTGTTAAGTTATTTGGCAGTGATAAGAACGTTTGTTTAGATATCATCTATGTTGTAAAGCTTACCTTATTTAGCCACTCGGCGCGCTCCACATCGGGAAAGTAGACCCAGGCGGGCAGCTCATCGATGCGTGCCAGAATCACATCCTTCTCGGAGGCGAGGGCCGATGCCTTGGCAATGTCGCGCTTCTTCTCCGACGTCTTGCCCAGCTGATCGCGGGTCACAGAGAAAATGACTGGGGCAATTAGCCAGGCGACAGACCAGCCCATGTAGCCGACCAGATATATGGAGCCGACGATGGCCACCTTCTTGACCACCGTATATATCATCGAGAAGATGCTATTCTCATCGCTGTTGCGTGAACTGGCCACAACTTGATTTGTAGCATTGCCATTTACAGTTGCTGCTGTTGTTGCTGTTGTTGTTCTTGTTGCAGGGTTGCTCACGGGTGTTTCACTCATTGTGGGGGGCTCGGCCAGCTTCAGAATTGGTTCCTCCTGCTGCGGATCCGGCGGCACAATGAAATCTGCCAGCGGCACACTCGGCACAGCCTCGTTCTTATCGCTAGAATAAAAAATAATAATAATTATTATAACAGTAATACAAATTGCTGTTGTTGCCGATAATATTTGATTAAGTGAAGGCAGCTGATTCATTAGCATTGCCTAGCGATGATGTCATTTCAAGATGCCGCCAAGCCTTTTGGAGAGTACAGTAAAACTTGTGCCGGCATTATTTTGTTTTATGTGTATTCCAAATTGTGTTTACCTGCCTGCTAATGTCTATTATATGGTTGCGTATTACTCATCCGTCGCGTGGGCCAAGCAAATTGACACAGTTTCGTTTCGTTTTCAACTCGCAAAATGGCAATTGGCAAGAGAAAAGTGCCCACAACAACAACAATCACCTGTTGAGCTTATTGCCAGTTGGCGTGCACTTCAACTTAAATCTGAATAGCTTATTTTGCTTAAGAAAACAAAATTTAACACAAAACTGTTAATTTGAATAGATGGAAATTGTTTATTTTTAAGAACTGATGTGTCTGATAATGCTCATGCTTAAATATTTTGGCAAGTATGTGGAAAGTCGAAAGAGAAGCAGTTAAAGAAAAACTTGAAGCTGATCGAATTTCTACCAATCAAAGTGCTGGCTTCAGCCAAGTTAAAGGCCAGAATAATTGAAAAGGGAGAAAGTCAACTGCCTTTTAGGGGCTCATCCATAATGTAAAGCTCTTGGGTAAATTTACAAAATTTCTTTTCGGTTCCGAGTTGACTTTTCTTCAACGAAATTGTTTGGCTTATGTTATTCATTTTCATTTCTCAACTGCCACGCCCACAGGCGTTGCTGTGCGTAGCTTAAATTTGTGTATTTTGCTGATTTATTTCTAGACTTAACTTTTTAAATGTTTACTTTTTTCTTTGCACCATCTTCTTTTTTGTGAAATTGAAACAAACTTTTTTCTTAACGATTTAACGATGGGTTTTGTTTGTGTTCATTGTGGAATTAAACACCCCTGGATTAATTGTTACGGTAGCTAGGCGTCGTCAAAGCTTCGTATTACAAAGTTCGACTAATATCGTACATATATTTTTGAGCTGCTCCACATCTTGCTCAAGTGATTCAAGTGCTGCGACATTTGTCATTTGGGGCCGGTGGGGAATGTGGCAATTTACTGGGGTCTCTCGGCACCTGTTGCTTGCCATCCAAGCCAGGCAATGAAAACAAACAACAAACAAAAATAAAAAAAATATGAAAGATGAGGCAGAAAGAGAACGAGAGAGAGAGAGAGAGAGAGGGAGAGAAGGAGTGAGAACGAGAGAGGCAGCTGCTCAAGTCTGACATAACTTATACACTGTCTGCCTTCAAAAAGCTGTCCAATTGGCAGCCCATTGCCAAGAACTTGAACCCGCTTAACGACTTTTCGCATACGAATTTGTTATTAACTTAGCTGCTGAGTGAGAAACTCATCTGCCCTCCCCCCACCCTCTCTCTCTCTCCCACTCTCTCACTCTGTCTCTCTTTCTCTCTGTAATTGGTTCTGCGGTTTGAGAGAATGACGTCGTCATCTCATTGGCATTCTTGTTGGTGTTTATATATTTATTTGATAAATATTATATAGGGGCGACACTGGTGGCAATGTGTTTAATGTTAATAGATTGAGTGAATAAATGAATAACATAAATAAATCATATAATAATAATAATATCTATTTAATTGATGTGTCACCTTTGCATTATTGTTGTAATTCTGTGTTCTCCTTTTCAGTGTCGGATTTGGATTGTGTGCGATTTGTGTGTGAGCTAAAAATTTAAAATTGCAAGAGACAAATATAAGTGATAATCTATTCAATTAATAAATAAGACTTATGTTTATGTGGATATAAAATATATCTTAGGCGGACAAAAACAAAAATAAAAAAGAGTTATTAATTTATCAATTTATAATTTAAAATCCATATTACTTAAGCCAAAGTAATCAATTTGTATCATAGAAAATAACTCAACAAATTCATAAAAATATGGCTATGTAGATAAATAAAACTGATAAAAGAAGCTGCTGTCAATAATTATTTTTTCAACAATAAATTGGGGTTAAAGCAATGAAGAAAATAATTCAAAATTTGCATAACTAATACATGTGAGATTTCCTAGAAAACAAATATAAAAACGAACTAAAATATTTATTTATTTATCACGACATAAATAATGGCGAAAGATATTGGGGTTCTGTGTAGATGCGACAATGAGTCAAATAATAATATAGAATTCCACTTTACCCCACATTTATATGACGCATATCTTTTATCCTACTTATCATTTACCCCAAATATATGCCAAATATCTTTTTGCCAATTTTTCTGTCTAAAAATGTTGGCATTTCCAAATACTATCGCTTAGGAATTATGTATTTCAATATGCACATCTGAAGTCTTTATAGACGAGCACGTACGAAATTGTCTTTAAATTGAAAAACACACAAATTATATACACTCAGACACACTTCTCACCCACTGTGTGTATCTCAAAATACAAATTTGCCAATATGGAACACAATTTGTGTATTTTTATCAAGTTCTATTTTCCGTTCGCTCTTCACACAGCACAGTAAACAAATTCCATTTGTTGAATATGTTTCGAAAACCGGATTTTGATTGCACAGCAACAAGTATCAGAAACAACAAGTACAAGATTATATATCTTACGCACCCAAACACAACTTTATAAACTATATAAAATTTGGTATATGTTATTTGTTATATGCTATATTTATTTATGTTTTTTTTTTTCCTTCTCCTTTTGCTATTTTTTCTTTTAATTGGCCCAACGCGCTTGACGACTTTGCATCGTCGACGGCGTTTTGAAAACTGAACGTAAATTCTGAGCGGCGGCAACCAGAACACATTTTTTTCGACTTGGAGTGAAAGCTTTGTGCGTTTGAGCAAAAGCTTCGCACAGCAGCCGGGCTGCTGTTCTGTGCTGTTTGTGTCTTTGGCGCCATGGGGCAACATTATTGAGGCAGCCTAAGCTACACGAGTCAACATAATACATTGTTTGCAATTATGCGGTTGTTCAGTGGTTGCAGCTACATCCTTAAACCAATTCAATTTACATATATTCGCGAAATTTATTTACCAGCACAAAAAATTATTATTTAATTAATTTGTTTAGATATTGAAAATATATTAAAAAATATATTTAAGTATTTTTACTTTATGCCTTTGAGAGTAAGTTAGTGTTAATTATAAAGATTAAATACATTAAAATTTCTTAATTGCCAATGGAAAAACTTAATTAAACCAATTAAATTTCCCAGGTTCTTAATGTGTCCAATAATTTGCAGCATAGTGTAATCATCAGCTAATTAAACAGACAATTCCCGCGCCAAGCGTTAAATGCTAATTGTTGCCATTTGCATGTCCTGTGACAATTGATAGCATTTGTCGTTGGCTCCTTTTCGTAATACGAAATGGTGTTTTGGGGTGTTTTGTTGGGGAATCTGTTCGCCGACGCACTAAGTTGCAAGCGGATTAAGTAAACGCGGCAGCGCTTTTCATAAATAACAAATGTGTGCGTTACACATGACGTATGAACAATAATCGTGGCATATCAATTTTTAATGTCGCCAACAGATTGAAAGGTAAACATTGGCACAACAAATAAAAAGCGCAAATCAAACGCAAAAAAAGTTCAGCTGCAGCCCAACTTTAATGTGGCCTTCAACACCCACACACACACACATACACATACACACACACACACACACACACACACATTCGCATTTGCTGCTGCACTTTGTGTGCTTGTTGGAGAGGCAACGAGGTAAGTAAAAAGTTAGCATGCCTTGTTGAAGGGCACACATTGCTGCCACATCCTGCTGCTGCTGCTGCTCTTTCTGCAGGCAAATTATTGAAAAATGTTGCATCAAATGCCGCTCCTGGGGAATTTAAAATTTGCCAGCCATTTACTTTGTGTTTTCACGAAACATGCTTTATGCTCCGTGCCCAGCAAATTAAAGTTCAGCACTTCAGAATGGCACCCAAGGGAATTCTGTTGCTCAATATAAATTCAGCTCGTGCTTAAAAATGTGTAAATCAATCAATCAATACATATAAATAAGAGCATTGGGTATAATACAAATTTAAGACGGTTTAATGAATACATCACATCAATGTTTATTATTGAATTTCACTTGTGTACAATAATTTGTTGAATGACAAAATTAATATAAGTTTATAAGGAGTTATTGTTTGAAATGTTTTACTATTTACTTTCTAAGATTTATGCTTCCAACATAGAAAGTTTTACAGAAAATCTTATCGAAAATAATTCATTTATTATATACACATTTATATTTTCGGTTTTTATCTATAAGTCTATATGCCAAGTAATTTAAGGGTGTTTATGTGACGATTATATAAAAGTGATATTTAATGCCGATAGTTACGTGCGTGTCACGCGACCACCTGCAATGTTCGTTGCATGTGTTGTGATTTAATTGCTTTATAAATATTTGATTTGACTTTGCCAGGATTTTGATTTTAGTTCCGCTTGCGGCACATGCGGCTTATGCATATTGAGCTCTCCGGGTTTTCAACTTTGAACTCTAGAACTGTGCCTTCGTCAAATTGAAGACATGTTTGAACAGTAAACTTTGATGTTAGCCCAATGATTGTCAACCAGCAACAAATTGGGAGCTACTAAGTGTAGCTGGCATGCCACAAACGGTTGCAGCAACATCATTTGAGGTCACAAGGTCGAAGGGGTAAACAGATCCTTAAGGCAGCCTCTTGTTTTATTTTGCAATTGCTTTTCTCTTCTGTTTGCTCTCGTATAAATGGCGTCACGTTGTCTTTGATTTATGGACGCTCAGTGAAGCAAATCGAATCGCAACTTAAATGTAACAAATTGTCAATCAGTTAAGTGGAAGAAGGGAGAAGCGAGGTGGACGGAGAGATCTCGACAGATTGGATTTTTGATTACAAAACCCATTAATGGAAGTAAATTGAGTTAATTATCTGCATTAGCCATGTACTTTTATACATACATTTATTGATTAGATGGCTGGGCAGAATAATTCCCAAGCTGGTTGCTATGTTTACATTTGAAAGCTAGTTAAAGCCAACACTAGTTAGTTGATTAGTCAACGCTTAATTTGTGACAGAACCACTTGGGAATTGTTAAAAGTAATTTGCTACCATAAATAGTTGATGAGTCAGCAAAGAGAGAGCAGTATTAGAAATGACAGGACATTACAATTTTGTCACTTAATTTGTTACTGCTTGTGTGACATATTCCAAACCGTATATCCAACAGGTAAGTTGATATAGCTATTTATGGCTGCCTACCTATTTGGAAGCATTCTTAATGAAGTGTGTCAAAATCTCATTGAAACGCATAATAATAAAAATAACACAATATTATTGGAAAAGCTTCTTTGAAATCATGTAAGGAAAGCTTTAAAATATAAAAATAATTTGACTACGTCAACGATATAAATAACTAAATATAAATAATCTACTTAAAATTGATTGACTGTAATAACTTTGCTGGAAATATTTATTCTATTACTTGACGTTCAACAGGCCAATAACTACTCAAATGCTCGGCTCTGGTAACAAATGAAGGGTATTTGGTGAACGCCGTAAAATGTTCTTTCCTTTTTGAAATGCCCGCATGATAACGTCACCAGCTCGGAAGCTGCCTCAACGTAGTTTTGAGGCAAGGTTGACCTTTGTTTCGCTTCTAGCTGAATCACAAAAGACAACTTTAGGCACTCCATTTCAACAATGCCCATGCCCCTAGAAACCGTAATGCAATTTGCATTATGAAGCACGTTTCGAGTGTGTTACACACAACATACAACACACACAACCAACACACACAAACATCACATTCAATATTTAAACAAATTTTTTTACGTTCTGGGAATTACTTTGCCCTACACACAGACATGTGGGTAAGCGTGTGGCCATTAAATGAAATGAGTAAAAGTTTTCTGTTACTTTTCGTTTTTTTTTGTTGCGAAAATCATAAACTCGAGTTGTGTAGTTAGTTGCAAGTAGTTAGTTGGCTGCGAGTGTGAGAGCCTGCTGATGATGTTTCCGTAAAATGGCCACAGGGATTCATATAAAATAAATGTGATCCAAGCAAATGGTTCGACCGCAAATGAGACTTGGGACGCCAGTTGGAGGGAGGGCTATTAAATTAGCTACCAAAATTCAGACGAGTGTATTCATATACATATACAAATCCAAGTGAACGGTGTTGAGGTGGGAACGGTATTAATAGACATTATTATCGCCACAATCAGAGGGCTGCCGAACGCGAACACCGAGTGAAAAGCCGAGAGAAAAACCCACTAAACATTGGATTTTCTCGAGTATGAATTATACATAAGTTTGCCTTGTGGTTGTCCAATAAAATTGCCATAAGCGTCCAGGGGTGGTTTGGGGGCAAAACACAGTATTAAAGCCGAGCACAAGTGCCACAAAGTACCACAAAAAAGTAAGACCACTAAATAATCCAAGGAGACACGCACGAAAATTGTTCTCAGCGGTTACGGAAAACAATTAAGTAGTTGCATGTGCAAAACGAACGACTACAAAATACACTCCAAGACCATTTTATTTTCGAAGCTAAAAGTAAGCTAAGTAAGCTGGTCTGAAGCGTAAAATGTTAAGTATCTCTTTTTACTGCAGCTTAAAACTTTATGCAAGTTGTTAAGTGCAAGGAGCTTACTAAAATGACAATGATTTAAGCATCGAATACTATAAAAAGTGCAAATGCTTATTCTGCTGTAAATATTACAAATATTTTATTGAGAAAACATAAAGCTAATTTGTTGTCTGCCAAACAGTTTGATTACGGTCGCGGAGCAATGTTGACAGTCGCATTTGTCATGACCAAACATGGATACGTGTTCGTTTGTATTATTAATGGCAATATATACTATACAACATGATGCCACGCCCCCTGCCCTTGTGTTGCTGCTGTTGCACGTACAAAAAATGTGGTTACACTCAAATTATGCCTGGCGTCAAGTGCAAAAGGCAGCCACAACATAAAGTTTTGTGTTTGTGGAATCCTTTAGCCTGTCATAAATGTCTGTCACACTGAATGCCTGACTGTCAGTCCCTTCCCTTCGTCTGACGGCTTGTGTTTGTGTCAGCTTGTGTTGTAAGGCCGCATCTGGTTTTGTTCTGTTCCGCTAACAGCGTTGCGTATGCGTAATATTCACAATTCTCACTTTTCTCGCTCGGCAGCAGCAGCAGCAGCAGCAGGTGAGGCAATAACCAAAGAACCGTCCACTTAGGATTGCTGCATTTTTAATGTTGACTTGCAAATATCACTTACAGTTTTGCAGGCGCTGCTGCTGTTACTGCCACTGGTGGCACTTGAACAACAAAAGGCGGTCAAGTGTAAGTAACAAAGCCGTCACCTAAAATAAAACAACAATAGCCGAGTCGCACAATTGCTGGCGACACTTATCCTTGTTTTATTTTTGTAGTTTTTTTGGTGGGCTTTAGTTGACTCCTTTTGCTAACCGGGCTATTGATTCGAGACTAACGAGCCGGAATTTCCACTAAAAAAAAGCGCGCCGATTTTTCCAGACAAGGCGACGGCTAAAGCAGCGTCAGGACGACGACAGACTCGCATCGCAAACGTCTCGTGCACAACTGAGAAATACCTGCACGAGGCAGCAGCTTGCCAGTTACAAGAATGTCACTCATACGCAGCGTGTGACCCACATTTAGCCGCTGCTGTAAACGACTCAAAGAGAGCCCCAGGAGAGGGAGCTTTGTGTGTGGCTTTGTCTGCTCTCTTTACAACACAAGGTCGCATTTTGTTTATGTTCGTTGCT